TTATTTGGACAACTATAAACAAAGGTGTTGCTAAAGTCTAAAGTATTTTTTTTGGATTGATCTCTTAATTTGATTTGAGCAATTAAAGTTGATAAAATTTGAAATTCGAAAATCTTTTTTGTTCCACAAGTGCCACATGATTCTGGATTTGTGGTTAATTGAACACCCTCTTCAGTCATTGGTAATGGTTTGCCGTTATATGAGTATCTTAAGCATTGATCTGGTGCCATTGAAATCTTTTTGATAAATTTATTAAAAATACGATCTTTGACATATTCATAGGTTTCATTTGACCATTCTGAAGCGTCATCTCCAAATTGGCTATCTAATTTTTCATAGTTTTTCATTACTGAGGTGTTATTAATGGAGTTATTATTGCTGTACATTGACTCCTCGTCTATATATAAATTAAATGGTTGAAAGTAGTTGCTCGAGTCATCTGAATATACAAATCCCGAAATTATTTCTTCTTCATTTTTACATTCATCATCCTCGTATTTGGTTATATTTTTATTTGTTTGTTCCTCTTTTAGTTTTCTCTTTTCTTCTTTTAATGCTTCATCTCTAATTTTTAATAGCTGATCAATATTTGTTGTTGTAGTTGTAGTGGTTTCATTGGTGTTTGTTGAAATACCCCAATCATCAGTATCCTCAATACCCCAATCATCTTTTGGTTTTTCTTCTTCTTTTGGTTTAGTTTCTTCTTGTTTGGTTTGTTCTTGGGCTTCTTCGTCTTCATCTTCTTCTTTTAATGGATCTAAACATTTAATGACTCTCCATCTAAAGAATATAAAATATTAATTTCTTTTTCTTTAAGATAATAGTTGTATGAAATATATAGTTACCCTGATGAAGTTGAATGGCATTCGTTATTTGGACAAAGGAAAATATAAAAATTTCTTTCATAGTTGGGCAATGAGTTTAATGGGCAATATGCTTGAATTAAAAATACCATTGACGATGAACATTTGCCACATTTTATATCTTTTAAATGGTTTGGTGGTTGTGCACACCAAATCTATTTTATGGAATATTTATATTTAGATTTTTTTTTTTAAAAAAATTTTAAAAAATTATTAGTTTTTTTCGTTGTACGTTTTTTCGAATTTTATTTTTTCTTTATTAAATATTATTAAAATATACTTACTGGGGAACCACCGATTTTGGTTAAATATGGAAATACTCCATCATTCTCACAATCGCTTTGATCATCATTTATATTATTGTTTTTTTTCTTGTTATCAATTGGGGTGTCAACGAAACCTAAAAAAGTTTTTGTATCATTTTTAATTGGTGACATTTTAATATTAGAGTTTTTATTATTTTAATAACTATTTAAATTTAAGTTTAATATTGTTTTTAAGTTTATGATATGTAAAATAAAAATAATAGAATTATATTGTGTTGATAAATAATTGAGTTGGGGAGTAAAAAATAAAAAATAAAAAAATAAAAATAAAAAAAAATTTAAATTTTTTTTTTTTTTTTTTTTTTTTTTTTTAATTTAATTCGATATATTTAGAAATAAATACAAAGAAAAAAACCCCCCCCTTCCCCCCAGCCCAATACAATTACCATAAAAAAATTCCAGGGGTTATAAAAAAACATTTTAATAAAAAAAAAAAATAAAATAAAATAAACCCAAACTCTTGTTCTATTTTAAGAATTAAATTTTTTATTTTTTATTTTTTATTTTGGGATTAACAACAATATCTTTTCTTACCAAAATAAATAGACCAAGGAAAAATCTAATGAGATGAGTTTTTATAAAAAATAAAATAAAATAAAATTTTTTTTTAAAAACTAATAAAAATGAGAATAATGAGTTTTAATATTTTATTTACAAAATAAATATTGAAAAGCTTTATTTTATTATTAAAATTTATGTGGCGGGTTGTTAGTTATTAAATTTTTGGCACACATAAATATTAAAAGATGTATATGTATTAATATTAATAATATTATGATTATTATTTTTAATATTATATTAATATTATTGTTATTATTATTAATTATCTAAATTTAATATTTTATTATATTGATTTAGATTTAAAATTGATTATTTACAACTGATGCCATGGATGTAAAGGTATTTGATGGTAGTATTAGTCTATCCTTTATAGGCTTCATTTGTTTTGAAAATAAATCTAATCTTTCCTTAAAGAACTCTATTTCTTTATCAATTTCTTCTTGTAGACATGGGTCGATTTCTTCCTCTTCTTCGTCTTCCTTATCATTATAAAAATCTAAAATTTTTGTGCTTATTTGATTATCATCTGTATAATCTATATTATCAATTTTTAACAAATTATTATTGGATGGTGTTGATGTGTTATTAATATTGGTATTGTTATTATTAAGATTATTATTGTTATTATTATTAACATTATTATTATTATTATTATTATTATTATTATTATTATTATTATTATTATTATTATTGTTTATATTAGTATTATTTATTTTTTCTTTATCTTTCTTTTGTTGTTGTTGTTTTAATGATTTTTTTGACTTTTTATTATCTTCACCTAAAAATTCTAATAAATCATCTAATGATTTATTTTCATATTGTGGTATGGTTGGAGGTGTAATTATTTTTTTGTTTTTTTTGGGTTTATTGGTATTAGTTTTAATTGTAGTAATTGATGGTGAAGGTGTGGATGAAGGAGGGAGAGTAATGTCGGAATAGTCAGAATCAATACTTTGTAAATGTCGATTGATTTCATTGATTTCATCGATTTCTAAATTTGAAAAAGTTTCTTTTAATTCTTCTGAACTCTTTTTTGAAATCTGTATTGCAATTTCTTTACTTGTTAGCGATACCAATGATTTTATATCCAAGTAATATGAAGCAGAAGCTATTTCGCATATATTCATTTGTCTACTTTCTAAAAATTCGTTATTATATGCCATTATTTGAAATGGATTTGATGATGCTAGTTTTGTTGAATGAAAATGGCAATATTCCAAAATAACTTCTAATATGTAGCTTCTAATATCATGAAAGCAAATTGTGATGTTATTTAAATCTCTTTTAATTATTGATGCTATAATCCTATCTTCTCTTTTGTGGTATATGTCATCCCCTTTAAAAATAAACCAACCACCTAAATTATTTCTAAATTTGGTATGACCCATTTGAATTTGTTTAACTGTGTGGCACATTTCAATAACATTATCCTCCAATTTATACTCTGTATCACAATCATACCCTACAACGGTAATTGATTTTTTTTTATTTACAAATTTATTATCTTTATCTTTATCCTTATCTTTATCTCTATTCATTCCATTGTTTATGATATTTTGGCTATGATTTATAACATTATTCATATTATTTATATTATTCATATTATTATAATCTATATTGTTTTTAATATTATTATCTATATTATTATCTATATTTTTTTGTATCATTTTTATTTATAAATTTATTTATGCAATTTAACTATTTATAATAAATTATTTCATTAATATAAAAATATGGTTGTTATTATAACTATATTTAAATTTCGATTCAAAAATCGTTTTTTAAAGCATAATTATTATTTTTTAAAAATTTTTTTTTTTTTTTTTTTTTTTTTTTAAAATTTTTTTTTTTTTTTTTTTTTAAATAAATTTATTTTTAATAATAAAAAAGCTTTTATTTATTCAAATTATTATTATAAATAATTTTATTATTTTAATTAAATTTTGTAATCCATTTTATTTTAATTTATTATTAATTATTTAAATATACTACACCAAAATTAAATATTATAAAATATGGTGTGAGATATTGGTTGAATGTATTTATATAGATAAAAGAATACTGTTATTGGGTGTCTTAAGATATATTTATTAGCCGACAGCAAAAAAAAAACAAAAAGAGAGAA